AAAGTTAACCTCTGGGAAAGATATCGCGGGCTCGACATTTGCCGGCGAATGTGGAACATGCGCCTTATCGCGGAGAGAAATGGAAGTTCTTCTGCAATGGCAAGCCAGCAAGTGACGGAAGGTAAGTGAGCTGCAAATTATTTAGATCTTTGTCAAAGCTCTTGAGAAATTGTTTGATTATGGGCTTTGCATATCTTTTTCTGTTTTGCAGATCTGAAGGCATTTGAACGAAGGCTTACGGAGTATGTGTCATGTTTAGGTCCACAAACCGGAAGATGGAGACGTAAGTTTCAAGCATGTTTGTCGCTTGATTTCAAATAAAATCATTCCATTGATAATTGAATTAATCAAAACATACGCGAGACTCAAACCGAACCTTGGCATTTCTGTGGGTATTTTAATAACATTTTTTATGATATGTTAAGCTTAAATGCGTACATTTGAGAGATGAACTCGCACCTGTTTGATTGTTTATAACAAATATTTCAGATATAAGCTTGAGGTAAAGTGGAAGCTTAGTGAGCTCAATATCTGGATCTAACATTAATCTAACATAATTTTATTTAATTTTCGCAGTTATCCTTGTTATATCATCAGTTGCTACTGCTGCAGGTGCCTGGGGATTAATAACAGATAATCAACATGTAAGTTTTTTTGAAGCGTGAAAATCAACGCTTAAATATACCAAGTTCAAATCATACTGAGACTTGGGTAGCAAAGTTTCTATCTATCTATCTATCTAAGAACATGCACGTCACATCAACATGATGCAGTGGCTAAATCACGTCCTATATATGCACAGAAGGCATGACTAGAACCACCTGCTACTGACAGAAATTAAATCACAAGACGTACAAATGTACATAAACAAGGACATGCATATCGTAGTGACATGTAGTAGCCCTTCTGTTACTTGGGATAAGTTTCAGTATCAGTCCTGTAGCAAAGCTATATTGCTTTGTCACAAGTAAATGGTGGCATCTTTACACAGGTTTTTCTCCATGTGTTCTCAAGAAAGTGGGACAACATATCTGTGGAACAAAAGTGGAACAAAATAACTGCCAAACTCTTGCCAGACCCCCCACTCAACTTAGTCTTTAATTCCATATGCTTTTATTAACCCAGTAAAGTTAAGTGATGCCAGGAATGATACACCCACATTTGTGTTCAATCCTGTAGACTGTCATTCTATTTAGACAGTCTGGATAGACAAAAATATTGACCTGATTGCAGTGACTAAATGGTTAGGGCGTTGAAATTTGGATGACCCTGGTTGTTCTGAAAGACAGATTAAGGCAGGGGGGTGGACCCTCAAGCCTTAAGATTTGAAATTTCTTAAGTGACAGTTTTTCAATGGCGTATCCATAGAAACCACAATCATTACCATTAAATCCTAGGGCTTGCGTACTCCAATACATTATAAGTGGAGGGGAGGATTGAAAACTTTTTGAGGACCCTAGGTCCTATAATTTTTTTGTCAAGGGGAGTGAGAGACTCCTCCCCCCAACAAGACTCTCTAATTTGGCACAGATTTGTTATGAATATTATGATATACATACATAAATTCCACATGGCAATTTCATTTTGTGAAATGTAGCTTTGTTTATAATATATATTATTATATGGCTGTGTCTCACAAGGACTGGGAACTACCAAATTCACGAATTTGATTGGCTGAAATCGTGGTCAAGATTCTCCCATGCAGACCTCCTGCTCAGTTAATAAGAGCTAAATAATAAATACATTTTCATATCTTGTAGTCTCTTGGTTAAATTGATATGTATTTATTTGCAGCATCCTTCACTGCTGCAGTATCTATGGCATCACAAGTTGTTTACAGTTAGTTGCTGTAATTTATTCATTCTATTTATGCTTGGAATTCATAGAAGAGTTATGGCCCCACAGATGTATCCTTTACTGATACTTAACAAACAAAGTGTGTGTTTATAAATAAATAATAATTAACAATTATTGGACAAAGGGTAGCAAAATATCATGATTTGTCGGTGGTGAGCAGAACAGTAAAGCGGAAGGCTGACGCGAATAATTGATCTGCGAGACACTGACAAATCACAATACTTTGCAATATAAACCAAGTTCAATAACTGTTTTCATTCGATCACCAAGATTTTTTGATACTTGATATACTCTCTGACCGCTCAGGAAAGCAATCTGCAATTTTTCACACAAGAGCATTGTTAGGATTATGCAGTATTACACATGCCCAGCCCATTATTTATAGGCAGCTATTTGCAGGTCACGTGGTGGGCTCTCGGCCAATGAGAAGGAAAAAAATTGCATCGATTGATAGTACAAATTGTCTGTGTAAAGCTAAATGTCTGCAGTAAAAATATTGCCAGCATAATTTATCACATTAATTTTCTTTTATTGTAGTGCAAGATAAAGATAAATGTTATTTGTTGTACGTATCTTTAACTCAGTTAAAAGAATTTTAGCAAGAACAAGAGTAGTTTTAGAGGATTACAACATGTCCTGTGATGAGGTAAGATCTTTTGATATCAAAGGCTTTTCTGAGCAGTTATTATATGAGAGGTAAAACACTTTCATTACCTAACTTCTCCCCTTCATCTGGCTGTTACTATGCTACTTTGGGCTCAGGGTTGGTACTGTGGTGAGAGCACTCACCTCCCACCAATGTGGCCCGGGTTCGATTCTGGACCGGCATCTTATGTGGGTTGAGCTTGTTGTTGGTTCTCATCTTACTTGGAGGGTTTTCTCTGGGTACCCTGGGTCTCCTCCCTCCAGAAAAACCAACATTTCCAAATTCCAATTCAATCAGGATAGAGGACCTGCATGAAATCTGCTAGGGCTGATGTGGCTTCCACTTTAAATACTATAATTTAAGAGAATTTGGAATGAAGATGTGTCAAGCATTCTTGGATCACTGATTTTCTATATTCTTGTCCTAGCTTAATACCCTTTTGGATCTGATGGCCCCTTTATGTTGTGTCTTGTTTCACTAACTAATCTCAACCAGACCAACAATCAAGCCGGGCTTACACCGTATTCATTTTGCATCTGGCACTCCTAAATTTGGCATATATGCTGATAATTTAGGGTTCTCTGTGCTTAATTTACGTGGCAAAATAGTTTCAAATATTTGCAGAATTCATTTCTGGATAATGGTATGACAGTTCATAATTTGACACTTTTTCTTTCTATTTGCAGAAGGGGAGACTAATTCTAAGACCAAGACCAACATAACATATGCTTTTAAAATACATATGAAATGATTTGTTTCTGATTTCTAAGGGTAAACCTAATCTTTCAAATCACTCAGACCAGTTCTAAATAATTCATAATTTTCAGCTCCTCAAGACTAGATGTTTCATTTTCTGTTCAAAACTTGGTCCCTGTTTTTACAGTTAGAGGAATAAGTTTACGAAGCAATGTAGTGGATATGCCTGAATGTTTATGTTTTTCTAATTTGTACATTGATGCGCTGGAACTTTGTGGGTGCGGTGTAGGAAATAAGCATTGAACTGCATGATGTTAGGGGCTGCTTTCGATAATCTTGGCATGAACTTTGTGCTTTAGAAAATGGGCGAAGTGTGTCCACTGGATAATATAAAGTAGTGTTAGACTTCTGTGGATGTTAGTAAATGAAGAAAATGAAATATTCATTTCATATGTATTTTAAATATTGTAAATCTACGTTTAGAAAACATTGTAATGTATAGTTAAACATTATGTTATAAATCAACTGTGGTGTACAGCATCCATATATATGAAAAACAAAAAATACAAAACTTAGAGAAAAACTTGGGAACAGTACTATTAAACATCTAATAGCTAGCTAAGTTAGATAATTTGAAGATTTTTTGAGTGTTATTGAAGGTAAAATATTCAAACAGCAAGATCTATTTAACTTTTAAAACACCATGCAGACCACATACATCACAAATAATTTGTCATATTTGAAAAACTTTCTAGGGAAAGAAGTATGTCAAGCTCTGTTTATGAGAAGCAAGTCAATTTTGGGACAATCGAACACAATGAGAATTACTTGTCTTACGAGCAGCTTAAGGTTACTTCAAACCTTCGCGGGTGTCCTCCAGAAAAAAATTCGTATGCGTGCTGTTTTGAAGGAAACCCCACAAACTATATATCAATAGAAAGTTTATAAAATGTAGAATTCGATAAAATTATATTCTTTTTTGCCGACTGCTTTCCTAAGGCAGCAGAAGCCGTTAACACCAGAACGACAGACTGAAATTCCAGCAAATTAATCGGGTATCAAATGTGATCATTGATGTAAAATAACTGTGCAGTGTTAATCGCAAAGCATCAATCTCTCAAAGTGTGTCGGCATTTTCTTTCATTTCTATTGGTTATCTTTTTATAGATCTGTCAAGTTCCACTATCGAAAAATTCGTGTGACATGTTGCGTTAGAAACTGCCACGAGAAAAGTAATTGAAATAAAGGAATTTGCCGACAAATTTTTGTTCCGTATCTATCAGTGAATGTTCTGGCCAAATTTCAAGGAAAACCGTCGATTCTACATACACTATTAATTCATTTAAAGAGGAAGGATTCTCTCGAAAAACGAGTGCAAGTTTTCGCCTTCTAAAGATTTATAAACATGTCACGCCTTCTCAGAGGGATATGTCAACTCAAAATGCCACCAGCCAATGAAATAACAGAACCCCTAGCGTTCACAYTAAGGAAAGTTGAGCTTCTCGGTAAAGCGATAGTGTTACAGTCACATTTTAGGCATATACGTTTTAGGCCGGTGGTCAACAATAAAGGGCAAAACGGAGAAAATCAATGTGCAACAAAACAAAAAGAAACTGAGGAGCAATTGCTGAAACGTGATTACAAAAAGGCACTCTTGACGGACATGAAATCTCAAATTGAAAGTATTTGATATAGGATCTCTGGATTAAGCTGTTTGCCGTGAAAAGGTCACTGAGGAGTCCCTGCCTTTTGGGGATTATGACACCTTGACGGTTTATTAACTTCTATTAAAAAACCTCTTTTTCCCAATAACTCGCACGCATTTTAATCTTTTATGTTCATTTTTTTTGGAAATGCTACTTTGAATAATGAACTTAAATTTGGATGGAAAAAAGAAATTTGGAAAAAGTAGCCCCGTGAAGGTTTGGAGTAACCTTAAGCTATACTAGCCTCCAAACACTTAATAGTATGTGAAGAAAGAAAACTTACATGTTCTAGTACCAGCAGATTTATTTCTGGGGATAACCCTGTGATGGACAAGCATCTCATTCAGGGGATAGAAATACTCCTTGTCGCTTCATGTTGTGGAAACTGGGATAAGCCCTGGTGGTATTTTACAAATTTCTTCAATAAAACTTGCTCTCAAGCAACAATATATAACTTTTGTTTCCTCGTGTTATTTTACATTTTACCAGTAATGCTGAAAGTGCTGAATTTCCTGTACAAAATCTTTCCTGTGTTGTGGCAGAGTCATCTGATTCATACTGTCATATACACTTCAGGGATCTGCTTAACATCTCTGTTGGGTTGTTGCTTGGTTAGTAAATTTTGCATGTATGTAATCATCACAGACAAATCCCAGGGTCCTTCAGTATGCTTTTTGAGGACCTGTTCGTGTAAAATTCCGACAAGGGCCATGACATTAAAAGAGCAACATGGAGGGAGATGAAATTGTGACAATCCCGTTCTGACCACTAACTGATATTGTTCTCGGTAGCCCCGAGTTCAACTTCTCAGCTGCGCTTGTAAATAGCCAACTGGTCTGCCTCCCGCCAGTTGGGATTCTTAACCTAGTTATGTTTATTTGAATATTTATTTATCATTGTTTATTTGCATTAGTCCTTAAAAGCCCTAATGGGGAGTGCCCAATTAAGAACACTTTTTTTTTTACACACAATCAAAGAGACTTTGGTTGAAATTCTGACAGCCTAGTGTGAATCTTGTAAAATAATTATCTGTGACATGAAAAGATTTGAAATTCAGACAGGACCTGCATAATCCCTCATAGTTTAACAGTTTATACCCTAACAGGACCTTTTTTGGCAACGGGGGAGGCAGTGGATACTTGATAAGAGACAGTCCTGTCTTTTCAGCATTTTGAAAAGACCTGTTAGTAGGCCAAAAAGTGAATTACTGCAGCTGCATTCTCAGAGCCCAGTGACTATCTTGATATGCAGTATTGGGGTTCATTTAACCATTCCAAGCATAGAGGTGCCTCATCAGGAGCCCTTCACTAGGACCGTGCAACTCCCATACTAAACCTATATATGTCACCACATTTTTACAGACCGGTCTATTCTTAGACTTCTTTTCCCACAAAATAGGTCAGTGCAGTCTATAGGGGTGCACATCAGTAAAGAAAAAAATGGCAGCCTTAAATGGACATGTTGACTTGATCTTATAGTGAAATGATGATGTCAGTTAAAAATTAAGCCCGTACTAGTGATTGGTCACTGAGGTTCCTGCTGGTGTTTTAATTTGCGGTAAATTCAAACTAAAAATAGATTGATCTGTGAAAACACTGTGACAGGAATACGGGGTAGTTTCACGCTGATGGGCTCCTGGCCCCGTTAATGCTTCCCACCACCCTACCCCCTACCTGAGAGTCAGTGTTGTCACACCCATACCAGGGAAGACAGCAGCAAAAACATATTGTGCTTTTGTTGTCGTTGTTTTCTTTTTAACGGAAACTTCTAAAGGAACTTTAAATAGCAGCCAAAGGTTTTAGTGTAAAAATGTGGCAAGATTTTTCATCGTTCTAGGCCGTTTTAACCTCGTTCCCAGGGCCTTTTCCCTGCCCTGGGAACTTCTCCCAGTGACTGGGAGACTGGCAATAGTGGGTGAAGTCGTTACCAGGCTTTCTCCAATGTTCAATCCAAGATGGCGAAGTTGACCCGTCTGTCTGGCTGGATACATAACAACAACTCTGTGCAATGTCATGTAAAGATTACTTAATCTCGAGGTGAGAGAAACTTGCAGCATTTGGAAATCTCATCATGTTATTTTCTAAACGCTGCCCCTATGCTTAAAAGAAATCGTTAATAAACCAGCTTCTGTTTAAAACAAAGGTCCGCAATTTTTCTATGATATGCACAGAGGTATTTTGACAATGGACAGCATTTTAGTCGGACCCATCTTGCTCTGTCTTCTGTACTAATTAACCCTTGAGGTATCACTCAGGCCACTCCATTGAAAGGATCCTCTGAATCTCAAAACCTAAGACTCCCTCCAAATCTCAAAAACTAAGATCTAAGACTCCCTTTGAATCTCAAAAACTAAGATCTGAGTTTGCCTTAATTTGAAACTTAAATCAAGAACAGTGTTTTTCCCTGCTTTGATCTTTTCTAATATGTATTTGCTTTGTTTTTCCCCTCAGCCAAGCCATTCTTTAATTTCTGTAATCCCTCCTTATCCTGAGAACTGGTTGCCTCGCAGTAGGCTACACTGGATTATAAGAGGTCCTGAAATATAGGTGAGTTGGTGAGTTATAATGACTTCATAAATTTGTAGTTTTGTTCTTTTCTTTTATGTGGATCAATGGCGTAATATTAGCTGCTACTGGTTGGTCTCATCAAAAGAATTAAGAGGGGTCTTCTCTGCATCATTGATCAATTTTGCATTTATCCAATAATGCTGAATAATATTTCAGTTTTTAAGATTCGCTTTAAAAGTATAATTCATTTTACACCAAAAAGGTAGAATATCTTGCGCTATGTCATACTTTAAGGGAACTCTATTTCCTATGACGGGTGATGACTGGCCCTTTAAAAGCATGACTCATGTCCCACCGAATTTTAATCAAAATTCATGTCTCAAACATTGATGTGTGGTAACAAAATTTATTTTTATCAAAAAAATTATTTCATAACAATTTATGACTCAATGCTTCATGAGCTCTCTAACAGCGTACCTCATAACTATTAAACTTATGCCAAGTCAGGCAAGGCAACAAGTTCTGTGAACTTCTCAAAGTACATCTGATAATGCATACACATTGCAAATCCAATGAAACACACATTTTTTCACTCATCAACACGTATGATTCTTTTAAAGAAATGTTTTCCTCATTGTGGCAATTTCTTCCCAATTCTCTGCCTCTGTAATGACCTCATCAATAAAGGTTTTTGACATTTTGACAGTTTCTTCCCAATTCTCTTTCTCTGGAATGACCCCATCAAGGAAGGTTTTTGAGATTGTGGCAGTTTTTTCCCAATTCTCTGTCTCTGGAATAGCCTCATCTATGAAGGTTTTAGAGATTTTGGCACTTTCTTCCCAATTCTCTGTCTCTGGAATGACCTCATCAAGGACGGTTTTTGAGATTTTGGCAGTTTCTTCCATATTCTCTGTCTCTGGAATAACCTCACTAAGGAAGGTTTTTGAGATTTTGGCAGTTTCTTCCCAATTCTTTGTCTCTGGAATAACCCCATGAAGGAAGGTTTTTGAGGGTTTGGCAGTTTCTTCCCAATTCTCTGTCTCTGGAATGACCTCATCAATGCTTTCTTCCCAATTTTCTGTCTTTGTGATGACCTCATCCCGACTTAATTCTCGAGGAGTCTCGCATATTGCCAACTCATCGTCATCAAAGTCCAGGATGGGAAACAGGGGCGGTTGGGGTTCCGCCTTGTTCGTGTCACTCTGAGAGCGCACTCGACGCAGATTTTCCCGCCATTTTTTGGCTTTTTCCTTTGGATCACCGCACTGCAGATCATTCCAAAAGAAATTTTCCATCCTTTTCATGGCTTGCAGTTTTTCCTCTAGCTCTGCTTTACGGTTGCTGCATTTACTATGAAGAGAAGTAAGTTTTCCCACAGTTAGACCTTAATAATAAAACGCATTTTCTTGCTACATGTCTTGACAGTTTCTCAGTCTTAAAGCGCAGAATATCTTAGTAACCGTGTACTGTAAGAGGAAACACTGTTGATTTGCACGGCTGTGTGTGAAATTCTTCCATTATTCAAGGCCCTTTTGATACTCACATGATCTCAGACATCAACATTTGATGCTCTTCTAATGCTCGGCCTGCTGTACTTTCAGAGAGTTCTGCTGCCATCAGATGACTTCCTGTGTTTCTCGGGGTCTGTTGGTTTCCTTCTGCAGCTCTTCCTTGCTGCTTGCTTACAACTTCAGTGCTCCTGTGTGCAAACATAGAAACAGTAAGCATGTTAATTTACAGAGTTATTTTGCAGCAGAGTTTTTGCCAAACTGGCATTCCTGCGCAAATCGTTTGAGTGCACTTTGTAACATTTTAAGAGAATTTGACGTGGAAATGGATGTGTTTAGTTATAAAAACAAAACAATTAGAATTCTTACCCTGTAGTCTGAATATCTTCTTCGATTCTTCTAATTGCTTCGCGCAAATTGCAGAGTTCTTTTTCCATTTTTCTTCTGTGGATTAACAAGAACAGTCCGTCAACAAAGACTGGAAAAAATAACTGAACAAGCGTCTTTAAAGATTCTCACCTGGACTTGACTTTTCTTTCACAGCAACTACAACAATTTAAACGTCTCACGAATCGTAAAACACCCATACTCACAAATTTGAGAGTAAAATATCAGGAGAAAATTTAACTCGCAACTTGCACAGTGTTTTTCAACTGAATGTGTCTACGTACGTCGAGTGACTATTGTGATGTTTTTAACACGACACGCGCGCGCTCGTGCTCGCGCAAGTTAAGGTGACTGCCATTTGCGACGAACAGCTACTGTTTGGTTGAATTTTAATGGTTACGCCTCTCGCAATGTTTAGTCTGTCCAGGATAAATCGAATACGTTGCATTGTGAACGCTGTTCTCTTGCTTTTACCAAAATTGCAGCTTTTCTTGACTAAAGTGTTGGGTTTGTCAATTGTGATGCCATTCAAGTTCTGTCTGTTCGCTTAAGTTTTTTTTCCGAGGAGTTTCGTGGGCTGATACAAACGCGGATTTTCTGTTTTGAAGAATTTTGAAGTTTGTGTAAACCTATTTTGCGTTAAGCGTTGTAGACGCTACATATCTTTACAGGGTTAAATTTCCGTCTGGTAACGTAGACTAATGTAAACCCAGATATCGAGTGAGAATTTAACTGAGTAGTTTCCAATTATCTCGCTTAGGTGAATGATGCAGGGGTGGAGTTGATGGCGTGATTGACGTTACACGCAGAAAGTTGAAAGCTTGACTGACATTACGTACACGCGCAGACGATCATTGCAGGCGGTAACGGCCTCACACCGGCGGTTGATAGCGTGACTGATAGAAGGTTGATGGCGTGAACCGAGAGGATTATTGGTGTGATTGACTTGGCACGGAAACGCTTGATTGGATATCGCAGTGGAAAGACTACCAGAGTTTGAATGTAACGGTGAGTAATGACGCAAAAGAAACATACTGATACCCTGACAATGGAATGACTACCGATATGACAGGAGTTCCAACGCATCAACGAAGTATGCACCTAGTTATCGATACTTTGATTCATCTGACCACAACGCACGTGATTTGCTCGCTTTTCAACGTAGATTATCCATAAAAAATCTCCAAAGTGGACGTTCCCTTAAAAAGTTTACCGTCAAACATCCACTAACGACCACCTCCCTACAACGGCCACTTTTTTGTTCCCGGCGGACAGTCCAATTACCCCACAACCGAACGGCCCCTCTCCACAACGGCAACGACCACTAAAGCGCGTCCCTACTGCCAAAATAACTTCTCGATAACGGCCAATTAATCAACGACTGTCGACTGATGTGTACGAAACACCATTTTTTATTGTGAACGGGCACGAAACTTGAACGGGCACGAAACTTGATCGTACCGCGCGTCGTTGGTCTATGTTCCAGTTTGGTTTTTGTTTCATTGATACATTTTGATTCCGTTACGTATTTATATGCTACAATGAGCATTTTATAGAAATAAATATGTTGCAACCCTGGAAAAAAATAGGTGTCATGTTACACCCTTGCCTTCCCATAGCGGCGGCCACCTCTCTATAACAGCCACTTTCCTCTGTCCCCAAGGTGGCCTTTGTGGAGAGGTTCGGCTGTACTTTCTGTAACAGAAATCAGATGCGGATATTTAAGAATGCATTCACAGTGCACCAGGTCGGAGAAATTTCTATGTAGTTAACCAAGGACAGTTATCAGGTGTATTTTGTTGTTGCTGTTGTTGCTGTTGCTATGCTTATAACCCTTGCCTGCTGTGTATATAAACATTCAAAAAGTGCGTCCAGTAAAAAAAGAAAAGGAAAAAAAGGTTCCGAGCTGTAATCGAACTTGTGGCTGTGTGGATTGAGGTGCGACAATGATCTCCACTACACCACGCAGTAAACACGTGAAATACCGTTGCAAATAGTTTATCAAATAATATAGCTTGAGCTATGATTCGTCAGTAACTTTCAAAGACAACCAATCATGACCAATCTTGATAGCCTGTTCATATTTTTTGAATGTCTCCAAATAAAGATCTAAGAATGCAAAACCCTTTAAGATTTTGAAATAAACTAATCATACAAACCAATATTGCGCTAAAACAGAAAAACAAGCTTATAACACCAAATTTCGGTCAAAGTGCCTTGGAACACAAGGTCGCCATAGAAACGTGAAATATGACATTTGGCCATTTGGGAAGGGGGTGTTAACGCTGTTGTAGTACGGTGGTTTTGAAGTCCATTCGAGTATTTTGTGCACCCCTGAAACCTCTCCCTCCTCCTGTCCCCAGGTTAAACGTTGGTCAAAATTAAACGCGCGTATTTTGTTCTCGTAAATGAATCTGGTACACGATCTTCTGGCGGAGGCTCAGCCGGCCAGTTTTGTTTACTTAATATGAATTCTAAATTTTACGAAAATAAAAGGCATTGAGTTACTTATTTCAGTTTTTTTTTTCTTTTAAATAAAGCGAACAAGCAGAGCCCAGCACCTTTCAATTTATTCATAGGATCACAGTCGCTCACTGTCTCCCGGTCCTGCAGTTTCTTCACTAGTTTTTAGAGCTAGAGCTAGAACATAACGCCCCTAACAGTGAAAATACTTAATTAATAGAGGTAGTATTCAAAGCGGACGAATGGAAAGAGAGGTTCTAGAAAGGAAGTGTTTTACTGGAGTCCCTCAAGCTTAGTCTCAGAGGTCACGTGTGTGCGCCGCCCTTTATGTTAAACTGTTATCCCTCAATATTTAAGTTTTATTGGTGTTTCCTAAGTGTTCCTTATTGTTGCTTCAATTTTTTGGTTGTAATGAATATACAATGTAAATTGCTGGTGAAATCATAATAGGCGATATTGCTGTAACTGAATACTGAGAATTTGTTTTCATTTATTTCAGGTATTCAGTCAAGAAAAGCAGTAAGGCCTGGACGAGCTGTTGATGATGTCATTTTGGATTGATCATACACCACGTATGTTTTAAAGCTACAAGCCGATACGTTAATATATCTACTGTATGTACAAGTGACAGGTTAGATATCCCTTCTGAGAAATATCTTTTTTGTAACCGTGCTGTGGAGCAGAAACTATTTCTTTTTAGAGAAGTTGAAACCTTGAACTTGAAAAATAATATTTTGCTACTGTCAAGGGACGGCAAACGTTTACGAGAACAAAACAGAAATGAGGATGGATAGGACTGGGGAAGATTTAGACCGATAACATTTCAAATCTGTAGATTCTTGATTTCACATGTTTCTGACGTAACTCCTTATCAGTACTAAGAGACGTATCACATTTTTCGTTATAATTTTGTTAAATACTCAGTTTGTATCAATCTTTGGAAAAATCGGATTTTGTCAGTGCTTTTTTTCGCAACATGTAATAGTGATGATAAGCTAAGGAAGAAATTATCGTTTGTTTACGTAAGAGAAGGTAGTCCTTACAATGACGAACTAAAATGCAACTTGTTTGCATGCACGGATTGAAAAATAGGGCTTTCATTTTAGCCTGGTTAAAACATTGATGTCGCGTGTATTTTTCCTGTTTAAGTTTCATTGGCTCTGTGTAAAAGAAAAAAATACAAATTTCATTTTCGTGCTGTTTTTATAATGTCGAGTAGGCAATGGCTTTGCATTTTTCTTTCCTTAAAGTATTTTGGTTTTCAACGCGAGACGGAAGTTTACCGATGCATATTTTCACAACAGACGTGACTGTTTATGATACAGAAAACCTGCGAAATTCAAAGTCATTCAAATTTTTTATTTCAATAACAATACGTATGATAATTCTATCGACTCACTGTCATTCTTTTATCATTTTAATTCACGTTTCTGTTGTTGCTCACGCACAGCTCGGCTAGGTTAATATCGTTCAATCTTTCGTGCGTAATTTTTGCTGTAATCGTTGAAAAAAGAAGTTTATTTAGTGGCAGTTGTAAACTGAAAGAGTGACTTATAAAACCTCTGAAAGTTGAGTCGAACTATTCTTTGTAGTAGTCAAAGAAAAATATTGGCCATTATGTAATTTTGTCACCTTTCTCGTGGGTTTTGAAAAAAATATATCACGTTCATTTAGCTTATAGTCTAGCTCCACAACTACAGGTAAAGGCAATCGAGTGTTGTTACACTAAACGGCAGAGTAAATCGTTACTGGATTTTGTTAATATTGCCGTTACACAACACAACAGTTCTTAAACTTAAGTCTTATTTTGATCACACCTTGAGAATGTAGCGGCGGACATATGACGAAGAGTTACGGACTTTTATAAATAACGAGTACACTGTTATTTATTGTTATTATTGCACGCAAATGATATGGACACTGGAAGATATGCACTCAGAAAATGTTTGAAACCTTTTATTGTATTTTCTTTGTAATAATATCACAAAATAAATTATGATTCTACAAACTTGTGTCAGTTTACTGAAAGCTTTGCTCGCAAGACTCTTTTGCAGATTCCTCACAAATGACGAGTCACAGCAAAGAAAATTTTCAATCTTGGAAGATGCGATGATGTGGAGCAAGAGTTGAGAACTACCATCCTTGTGGTACAGTGGCCTCTAATACGCATGCGTACTAGGTGAGTGTCTTAGTTGTAAGAAAGTCGAGTATGCTGTGTGTGGTAACTGTAAGTAACTGATAACTTCGTTTAGTGTAACCCGAAGTTTGAACTTCGGGTTTAAACTTCGGGTTACACAAGACGAAGTTATCAGTTACTTACAGTTACCGCACACAGTATACTGGACTTCTTACAGCTAAGACGCTAACCTAGTACGCATGCGTATTTGAGGCTACAGTACCACAAGGATGAGGACTCTAAATCCTTGTTATAAAGTAAAAAAAAAAAATGCTAGTTAGTGGAGGTGGCGGGGAGGTGGCGGT